CACGCCCGACTTCAGCTGCCGAGGCAGCGCGCGGGGCCCGCGCCGCCGGGCCCGCGGTGCTCGCCCCGTGCCCCGCCCGCGGGCGCCACGGCCCACGCCGCCGCCGACAGGGCCACCCAGGGCGGCCCGGCGTGGGCCGAGCGCATCGCCGCGCGCCGGCTCGGCGGGGTGTGGCTCCCTCGGGGGGGGCCCCAGCCCACTGTGCCCACAGGGCCGCCAGGGGGCGGAGGAGGAGGAGGAGGAGGCGGAGGAGGAGGAGGAGGAGGAGGAGAAGGAGGAGGAGGAGGAGGAGGAGAGGGATGACGGGCGGCGGTTGACGCGGGCGGATGCGGATACGCCAGGGCCCGACACGCGAGATCCCTCCAGTTTCGTTACTTCTTTGGTGCTCGAAGCCCTTTCTGGTGGTCAAAGCTACAGTAGGTAGGAGCATCATAAAAGGGCGTGTGGCTCCTAATTAGGGGGTGCCCGCGACCCTCTGTGCCCTGCAGGGCCTCCAGGAGGCCCCCCCGCGGTCTCCGGGGCACGCCTCGCGACGCCCAGGGAGCCCCAGGGGGGGGGCTCCACCAGAGAGTGGCGCGAAGAGCCGCCGGCGGTGCGCCCGCAGGGGGGGGGCCAGACCCCCGACGTCATGGCCTTTTGCATGGCGCCACCTCCAGAGGCTCGGGGCCCATGCCCCCGGACCGCTGCTCCACCCCGAGCCGTTTCTGGACGGCCCCCCGAGGCCCGGAGCGAAGAAGTGGCGAGAAGCCTCCCGCCGCCCGTGATCTCTTCGCCACGCGAGGGGGTCTGGGGAGCGCGAGAGGGCAGGCCCTCCCTCCAGGGCGGCGGGGCTCCTCGGAACCCTGGAGGTCTAGAAATCTGTGTCGGTGGCTCACTCCCCCAGCGGCAGCTGCATTCGGGAGGACCGCACGGCAGCAACACTCCCTCCCCGAAGCACATGTGTGTGTTTACGGCGCTTGCACTCGGCAGAGTAGCCACGAACAGATCGCACCTCAGCGCATCTGTTATTTGTCAGTGCGTCGTGCAGGGAGGCCCCCCTTCGGCGGCCTCGGGGAGCGAGCTCGGCCAGCGCTCCGGCGGGCCCGGGCGGGAGAGGCCTCACCGCGGAGCCCTCGGAGCAGGCCCGCCCCCCCCCCCCCCCGGGGGGGCACTGCCGCAGCCGGGAGCGGCCCCCCAGGCACAGGGAGCGCCCCTCCCAGAGCCCCCTGGCGCATGGGGCAACAAAAATCACGGCGCCGTGGGTCTGTCGCCGTTTTCGGCTCTCGGGGGGCCCTCGCTGGGCCTCGGGGCCTCCAAGATTGGCGCAGAGGCCTCCAGAAGCTGGGCCTCCAAAAGCCTCGCTGGGCCTCCAGAGGCCGGCCCCGGGGAGCGGGTCCGCACCTCGGGGAGCCGCGCCATGGGAGAAAGGCACGACGTCGGTGACTACCTACCAGACCACCCCAACCCAACCCGAAGACCCGAATTTCGGGTTGGGGGGGGTACGGGTTCCATATGTGTTTTCTCGATGTTCCACGACCCCCCCCAACTGGAAATCGAGGATAAATTGGGGCCTTCGGGTTGGGTTGGGGTGGTTTGGTGGGTGGTGAGTCGGGGGCCTGGCCTGGTGGCACCCTGCAGCTGGGAGGGCCGGCAGAGCACTCCCGCTCACGGAGGGCGTGGCACGGCTCGAGGCCACGAGCAGGAGTCACGCAGCCGCTCTCGGCGGTGGACAAACCTCCCTTTAGTAGACCACCCTGTGGTGGAAACGGCCTGGGACCGAAACCGACGGACCTGGAGACCCGCAAAAATGACGGCCGCGACGCCCTCCCGCGATCCGAGAACGGCCAATTCCCCAGTCGACGCGTCAGGGTAGGAGGTCTGTCCACCCCCGACCGCTCCGGAGCGGGGCGGAGGCCCGGCAGCTCGGCGCGCTGCCTGCGGGGCCACGGCCCGCGCGGGGGGGGGGCCGCGCGCCTGTCCCCCTACAGGGGGATTTTGGGCGAAAGCCAAACCATATTCAAAAAGAATACCCCCAAATAGTCAAAACAATACTCTGAAAACACTCCCCAAACTGTTTTTTTACTGTTTTTGAACTCTCCTCCTGTAGAGGGACAGGCCCGACTTAATCCCGCCCCCCCCGGGGCCGCAGGTGGGGCTCCCTGTGGGGCGACGATCTGCGCGAGAGGTGTGCCGAGACGGGCGCCGCGGGCGTCTGCGCCCACCGGAACCGCACGACGTGGAGCTCTGTTCGGGGGGGGGCGTGAGACTCGGTGCTCGGGGGACGCGGGTTGGCCCGACGGGGCCGACGGGGAAAGGGTGAGGCCCGGCCTAAGGTTTTCGACGCGGGCTCCCGCAGCAGACATCCCACCAGACTTGGCCCGTCAGAATCCAAGGGGGGCCCATCAAGAAAGGATCGACGGGCCCGGATTCTGCTGTACTCGAGTCTCACGTCTGCCAGATCCACATGGGGCCATTTACCTGCGAGCGGTGTGTGCCGAAATGGGCGCGGGCCCGCAAGCGTCCGCAACCACGTAGTCCGTAGGCGTGGCTCCCCATGGGCACACGATGCTACGCGATGGGGATGCCGGCGTGGGCGAGAGGAGGGGGATGAGGTGAAGATGGCGGGGGGGCCTTAGAAGAATACAGAGGTCCTGCCAGGCAACCTCTGGCATTCTACCGCGCCTCGACGTGCCAAGGGGCACGGCGGCGGATGTGTGCAGTGAGAGCTCGTAGGTCGCCGTCAGCACGCATTCCGTTTGTTGGTCAGGTTGCCCTGCAGCGTGCTGCTAATCGCGGTCGAGTCGCATGCCTCCGTCTCTTTCCCAGCCGCCCCTGTGCTGCCGCGTCCTCGGGCTGCCACCGCTGCGCCGCGCGGCTCCGGCACCGATGTGAGGAATGCGCGCGAAACGCTGACGCATGCTTATTGACTACCTACCAGACCACCCCAACCCAACCCGAAGACCCGAATTTCGGGTTGGGGGGGGTCAGGGGTTCCACATGTGTTTTTTCGATGTTTCCCGCCCCCCCCCACTGGAAATCGAAGGTAAATCTGAGCCTTCGGGTTGGGTTGGGGTGGTTTTGTGGGTGGTGACTTAACGTTCAGTCGGGCATGCCCATCTACAGGAGGAATGCTCAAGAAGAGCTGAAGAGTAGGTTGCAGGACGATTCTTCGACAACTGTTGACTATGTTTGAACATGTTCTGGCTGTGTTCTACCTCTCGTCCCGAATCCGCCTGCAGGAGGACACGACCGACCTAAGTTTATCGCCATTTCAGCTTCCTGGGCGCCGCGCACGGTCGCGGCCCGACGGCGCCCCGCAAGCTGCTGCCTTGGCGACCCCGCAGGCTGCCTGCTGGCCGCAGGCTCGTCGCGCGACGGACACGGCGACCTTCAGGAACTTTGTTTGTCGGCAGCGAAAGCGGACGCGAACGCGATCTAATAACTAACGGGCCGAGCTGGATAGACTACGTTACAAAACTTCGTCACGTTTCATTGGAGCGTCAAGATGATGCAATTTTCGTCAGTTACTTCCGCGTTAATGGGCGGGCGAAGGCTGACGCCTGTCCCGACCGCGCCAAGCTGGTCCCCTTTCACCCCATAGAATCCCAGCATGCTGGGTCAAGAACGGTCGGATCAAAGATCTAATATTTCTAAACACGGGACTACTACCATTATGAAATTATACGAAATTGGGTAGGTAACAGCCCGACGTAGAACAACACGATTTTAGAAATACCACCCCGCGGGATCAAGCACTGCCAACGCAGGATGACTACATCTCAACTCATGACCAAATGTTGTAGCGCCGATGTATGGGCGCACTGAGACAGCCGGAAGAGAAGAGGGCGCCCGCAGAGGAGGAAAACAGGGGAGACGGCTCAGGCGTAGTCTGCGCCTCGAAGAACGCGCAAGCAAGCCCAGGCACCGGGAGCCGGTGTTGGGGAGACAAAAAGGCACCGATACCGCTACCCCGCGGACCTCTCCAGGGGTGCGTTCTGACCAGGGTTTCGAGGCGAATCCAGCAGTGGCGATGAGGGCCTTCCAGGAGGCCCAAAAAAAGAAAAACGGGGCGAAGGGTAGCTGTATGGGTACCCTTTCCTCCTCTGAGCTGTACTGCACGGGTTGTGGGGGACAGCGCATGCTGCCGAAGGGGGGGGGGGGGGGCAGCCCCAGGGGCCATCGGGCGCCCTTCAGGAACAAGGGTCATGGCACCACAACCACCACCAGGGCGATGAGCCAGGGTGGGTCCTCCTGGTGGTGTGGCCCCCCCCCTCCCCGCTCAAGACGTCCCCTCTTCGCATTGTTCGGGGAGGTGGAGGCATCGTGGACCTCCTCGCCAGGAGGTTGCACCCCTGGTGGTGGTGCCGCTGCTCGTTCCTCTGGGTCTCGTCCCGCCCCTCGCCCCAGCTCGGACGGAGGCAAGAGAGGGGGCAAGTGCGGAGAAACGCAAATCGGGAACCTCTGAGAACGAGGGGTCAGGAGGATGTACCGGGAGCCGTGGCCGTTTCAGACGGTTCAGGAAGAAGTTCCGGGGGGTCGGGCCGCTCTGGGGCGATTCCTCAGCTCATGCTGGGCCTACATGCTCTCTCGTTCTCCTTCCTTCCTCCCTCCCTTCCCTCCAGTCGTTCCTGCCCTCCCCACCCCCTCCTCTCCTCCTCTCCCCCCGCCCGGCGACGGGGAGGGGGGCCGCAGGGGATGCCCCCCTCCCACCCCCCTCTCCTGGCACGAGAAAGGGGAGAGGAGGAGAGGCGGACGAGCACCGACGTCATGATTTTTCACAACGTCGACTCCCAGAGGTCCCGACCCATTCCCCAGGACCGGTTTTACATACCGAGTCGTTTTTGACGGTCTCGAGGCCTGATCGAAAACGGCGAGAAATCTCCCGACGTGATTTTTTCGTTGCTCGAGGGGGCCTGAGGGAGGGAAGCGGAGGGGGAGGAGGAAAGAAGAGGAAGAGGAAGCATGACAAGGCTGACTGCGCCGTAGAGAAGCTGCGCGGGCTCCGGGCGAGGCGGGCGCGCCTGGTCCGCCAATGCTCGTCCACTGCGATCGAAATGCCCTGGCCAGAAGGCTCCCGTTCGTCCACCGCATCCGCGGCCCGTCATCCCTCTCCTCCTCCTCCTCCTCCTCCTCCTCCTCCTCCTCCTCCTCCTCCTCCTCCTCCTCCTCGACCTCCTCCTCCTCCTCCTCCTCCTCGACCTCCTCCTCGACCTCCTCCTCCCTCCTCCTCCCTAGTCACCGTTTCCTCCTCCCCTCCTCCTCCTCCTCCTCCTCCTCTCCTCCTCCTCCTCCCCCTCCTCCTCCTCCTCCTCCTCCTCCTCCTCCTCCCTCGTCCGCCCTCGTCCTCCTCCTCCTCCTCCTCCCCCTCCCTCGTCCGCCCTCGTCCTCCGTGCTCCGCGCTCCGTCATCCTGCGCCTTGCTCCCTCGCACTCCTCCACCACTCCCCCCACATCCTCCGTGCCCTTCTTCCCCGCAGCTCCACCCTGGCCATCGCTCGGACGTCCATTTCCTGTGTTTTTTTCGGTTTCGTGCGTGGCTTTTTCGCCAAATGATCAAGGATGCTCCTCGATGGTCCTCGCCGAAGGAAAAATGTACACGTCCGAGCGATGCCAAGCACCTGCAGGCTGAGAGCAGGACTGCGACGTCGCGGCCAGGGCGGCCGCGCCGTGCGCCCGCGCAACCAGATCGAGCCGGACGGCGAGGCTCGGCTGCCTGGCCCGGATGTCGCAGCACGGCTGCAGAACCTGCATAGTGGGCCCGAGCACACGGTGAAATATGACCGATATTCGGATGCAACTCCTGGGAGGTCAAATTCTGATTTAGCCCTGGTCCGAAATCCGGCTTAATCACGCTGAGTCCCGCTTGATCCGGCCTAATACCGCTTAATCCCGCTCAATCCGGCTCAATCCGAGGCCCACTCCGGCGTAACACCCCCCCCATGGGGCTTGATCCTCTTTCACCTTTCCGACGGAAACCTCCCAGTAGTTGCCTCCTAACTATGATGTTCAACGCCTTCGGTGTGAGAGTTGGGGGATCCCCCCGTGATGCACGGCCCAGCAAATTGAAAAAAAGAGCGCCGCCCGCCCGCGGCCTGGCGCCGGGCGGGGCAGGGCATTCGGGTGAACCTGTGTCCAGGCTCGCTGCTAGCTCACGTGGCGTCACTCCACATGAAGGGTCGAACAACGGCAGAAATCCGGGAGACCTCACAATCACGAGGCATGCGGGCATGGGTGCACCCCAGATGGGGTCCGAGCACACAGGGCTGTAGGATCGTGCCGCATGGCCAATACTTCGCCAATGCATTGGCGATGCATTGGCGCCGTCGGCATGGAGAAGATCAAGCTTCGCATCGAGCCGCATCGCCGATGCCTCAGCGATGCGGCGCGATTCCCCGACCCCATCTGCTCGGAACCCGCTTGGGAAGCCTGGACAGCATGAGCGTGGTGAAGGCGATCTGGGCTAGGCTCGGCCCGACCGCACTACGGCGCCTACAAGCCCCTGGCCGCTTGTTCGCGAGACCCCGCAGGGCCTCAACATCCTGGCTCGGCAGGCCCCGCCTGGTCCACACGCTGCGCAGGTGGCGCTGCCGTCTCTCGAAATGAAGCCGCGCCACGCCTCGATGACGAAGTGGTCGAACTTCCCCCTTCGTCAGTGAGGCTGTAGACGACTCCCCCCCCCCCCGGAGGACGGCGGACGCGGGTCGCATTATCGTCCTCCCCCTGCTCCTTCCTCCTCCCCCTCCCCTCCCTCGTCCTCGTTCCTCGTTCCTCGCTCCTCGTTCCTCCTCCTCCTCCTCCTCCTCCTCCTCCTCCTCCTCCTCCTCCTCCTCGTCCCTCCTCCTCGTCCTCGTCCTCGTCCTCGTCCTCCTCCTCCTCCTCCTCCTCCTCCCCCTCCTGCCTTTAGGTTCCCCCCCCCGTCCTCTTCACTTCAGTTCAGACCCCGCCGCCCGTCTCCTCGGGCTCCGTGCCCGCCGCCGCGCCCGTGGCATGTGCACCCCCAGCCTTGCCGCAATCTGCCCCCGCCCCCAAGACAGGGGCATCCCAGGGGGGGGGCGTCCAGGAGGGGGGATCGCAAACCATGGCATTGCGGCATGTGCGCAATACTAATCGTAATACAAATCATGACTAACACTCGTAATAATGGCAATACTACAGATAGGAATAGTAACACGAATAAAGTAGCCATAACAAGAAACAATAATCATAGACATAGCACAATAATAAAAATGATAATGACGATGATGCGATAGATAAATAATAATAATAATGATAATGATAATAATACTAATAATAATACTAATAATAATAATAATACTCATAATAATAATAATAATAATAATAATAACAATAATAATAATAATGATAATAATAATAAAAGAAGACTTCCTGGCACAAGCCACGACATCCACCCCCCCAATCATCACCCCCCTCGTGGCAGCCCCCACCACCGACTTCGGCCCCCCGTCCCCTCGCCCCATCATCCCCCGAGATCCGACGCTGCAACAAAAATCCAACATCGCAAGAGATCATGGCCAGATCCCCGGGCCCCATCTTCCTGCGTCACGTTTGGAGCCGGATCGATCCGTGAAGGTCTATAGGGGCTCGACATGGAGCGAAAAACGCCCCTTTGTGCAAGCATTGCAACGCCAAATCACGACGTCGGGGGTCCGAGTCGGAATGCGCCAAGGGTACATGAAGGGACCCCAGGACACACAAATAAATACACACAAATAAAAGTAGTCCCCATATTTTCCCAGATGTTCTGGGTTTCTGTCTTCCCCCCACTTCCCATATTTTCCCATATTTTCTGGGGAATCGAGGATGAATTGTGTCTGTGTATTTCTTTTCCTCCTGAATATAGGCGGCGAGCCCGGAGGGAAAGTGAAAGGGGCGGGCCTGCTCACAGGGCTCCGAAGTCCCCTGGCCTTCCGAGAAGTGCTCTAAGCCCTCCCCGAAGCTGCATAGCACCTCTCAGCAGGCGCTAGGGCTTCTGAGAAGTCCCGCCGCCCTCCGAGAAGGCCTTCTCCTTCTCACCTCCCCTCCTCGCTCGCCCCCAAAGAAGAGGAGGGCCATAATCCCCTCCCTAGGGCTCGACCTAAACAGTGTCTTCCGTCTTCGTTTTGCCTTCGTTGTTCCTCGCTCTGTCTTCGCTCCGCCTCTGCTGCAAAACGAAGCCAAAGCGACAACGGCCCCCGAAATCGCGAAAACATCGCTTAGGTCGAGCCCTGCCCCTCCCTGGCCTCCGCAAAAAAACCCTTGGGTAGAGGGCCGACAAATGCTACGCAGCGCCCCGCAGCTGCGGAGGACCTCCGGGCTGGCTCCCGCCTCCTCCTCCTCCTCCTCCCGCCTCCTTCTCCCGTCTCCTCCTCCCGCCTCCTCCTCCTCCTCCTCCCGCCTCCTCCTCCTCCTCCTCCCGCCTCCTCCTCCTCATCCTCGTCGTCGTCGTCCTCGCCGTCGTCCTCCTCGTCCCCGTCCTCCTCGTCCTCCTCCTCCTCGTCCTCGCCCTCGTCGGCCTCCCCCTGCTCGCCGCCGTCGCCGGGCCCCCGTGCCGTGCCGCCGCGCCGCCGCGCCGCCGCGCCCCCGCTGCCGTGCTCCTCCTGCCGCGGCGCGGCCGCCGCGCTGGGGTCGAGTCGGGCCTGCCCCTCTGCAGGGGGGAGGTTCCAAGGACAGTCTTATGTCGGGCGTGCCCCCCATACAGGGGGATGTTCGACGATAACATATACCCAAAAAAAACTCAAAAAAAGGTCAACAAATACTCAAAAAATAGTCCCTGGACTATGTTTGGACTATTTTTTTATTATTTTTGAGTATTTTTATTTTTCGTCGAAAATCCCCCTGTAGGGGGACAGGCCCGACTTAAGGACAGTCCAGAAATAGCCTGGCGGCGGTGTTTCGACTGCCCCTGACCGTTTCTCCGATCTCTTCCTGGCGTGCCCTACTTGTCCTCCAAAAGTCGCCTGCAGGAGGACATTGAAGGGACCCTGGAACACACAAATAAATACACACAAACAACAGGATTCCCCACATTTTCCAATATTTTCTGGGTTTTTGTCTTCCCCCCCGCTTCCCATGTGTTCCCATATTTTCTTGGGAGTCGACGATGAATTGTGTCTGTGTGTGTTTTCCCCTCCCGAGACATGCCCGACCTCACGCGCTGGGGGGGGGGGAGCCCCTCCTGGCCGGACCCTGGGCGAGCCTCGGCCGCGAGAGGGGCTGCTCCTCGAAGCAGGTCCCCGACGAAGCCAGGACGAGGGCGAACTCGGGCGAGGATCGATCGAGAATCCCTCGGACGAGGACCTCGGGCGAGGCTCCTCGAGCTCCTCCTCCACCCTCCCCCTCAGAAATCGTGGGGGGTAGGGGTAGGGTTCGCATGTGGCCCCCTAACTCGGGCGAGGACGAACTCGGGCGAGGTCCGCCCGCTCTGGAGAATGTCTCCAGCGCCGCGGCCTCTTCAGAGAGGGCCGGAACGCTCCGAGATCGTTCCGGAGCGCTCTGGAACGGACGTATCTCAAGGGGCCCTGGCACACACACACACACACACACACATAAACACACACAAACAAAAAGATTCCCCATAGTTTCCAATACTTTCTGGGTTTTTGTCTTCCCCCTCACTTCCCATATTTTCCCATATTTTCTCGGGAATCCACGATTAATGGTGTCTGTGTGTGTTTTTCCCCTCCTGAGTATCCTCGTCCTGGCCCCGTCCGAAGACCTGCGGGACGGCCCGCAGACCAGCGCGCCCCTCCCTGAGATCCTGGCTCGGCAGCTCGTGCACGCCCGGCGCTCTCGCCCAGCTTCGGGCCCCGGCGCCCTCACAGATCGCTGCGCCTCGAGAGATTTGAACCCGAGATCCGACGTTGCCAGAAAGCTGCCGCATCGCAGAAATCATGACCGGATCCCCGGACCCCACCTTTCCCCTGACCTTCCAGAGTGCTGAAAAATAACCCTCCAGACCTATAGACCTATCTGGGCTGCCTAAAACCTCGACAGGAATTAAGATATCGAGGTCCTGGTGCTATGTTTTAGCCCTCCTGGAAGGTCAGGGTCTGCGTCATATTTACAGCCGGATCGATCTGTCAGGGCCCCAGGGCCCGAACTGGGGAGAAAACGCCCGTTGCGGGAACAACAAAAAATGCTACGCCAAGATCTCAGGGGACGCCGGAGAGATGGGGCCCGGGCCTCTGGCCGTGCTTCCTTGCGATCGGTTGCATTCTTCCTCCGACGCCAGATCTCCAGGTCCCTGGGCCCAGGAGCTGGGGACATCGCCTCGGCGCCCTGGCTGTGCGCCCCCGCCCCAGGGTGAGGTCGGGCATGTCCTCTTGCACGCGGGTTTAGGAGGAAAGTTGTTTTTATTTTGTTTTAAAAAATCAACTAATATTAAAAAAATGTTCAAACATGCTCCGAAATGATGGGGAACTCGTCCCCAGACTAGTTCCTTACTGTTCTGCAATGTTCCTCCTGCAGCGGCACAGACCCGGCTCAAACACACAGGACGCACCCCCTCCCCATTGGGAGGCGCCGAGCTCGGGCGCGGCGCCCGAGGGGCCCCCTCGGCCCGCCCAGGAGCGGGGCCGGGCGTGCGGCGGGGAGGGGGAAGGGGGAGGAGGAGGAGGAGGAGGAGGGAGGAGGAGGAGGAGGAGGAGGAGGAGGAGGAGGAGAGAGGAGGAGGAGGAGGAGGAGGAGGGGGCCTTGAGGTCCCTGGCCAGGTCGGCGAACTCGGCCTCCGCGCGCGCGCCGCGCCGAGGCCGCCGTCGGTCGTCCGGGCCGCGTCGTCGTCGTCGGCCGCCCGCCGTCGGCCGCCGTCCGCCGCCGTCGCCCGGCCTCTGCCCCCCTGCTCCGGCCCGCTGCTGCTCCTTCCCTGCGGCTGCTCCTCCTGCTCCTGCGGCGGCGCACGCGGGCGCCCCCGCCGTGCTTCTTCGGGGCTGCGGCGAGCCTGCTCCTCCTCCTCCTCCTCCTCCTGCCCCTCCTCGTCCTCCTGCTCCCCTCCTCCTCCCTCCTCTCCTCTCTTCCTCCTCCTCCTCCTCCTCCTCCTTCTCCTCCTCCTCCTCCTCCTCCTCCTCACCCTGCTCCCTTCCAGAACCACGCACTCTGTCGGTGTACCTCAGATCCGTCCGCCGATCGTCGTCCGTCCACCAGCCAAACTTCCTCCATCATATTGTTCGGCTAAGACCGACTTGCGGACTCTGCAAGATGGCCCCACGATGGCCTGCGCTGCCAGCATGACCTCTCGCGTAGCGGACGTCAGCTCCAAGTGGCCCGCAATGTCATGGCTCCCAGATGGCTCCTATATGTCTCCAAGAACGCCAAACTAAATTGATGACATACTACCGAAGCTTGTGTTTCAGCTGTTCTTCACGTTCAGGCCCACACGGTTCCAAGATGTCACTAGAGGCATCCAAGAGGAGCCAAGAGGTTCCAAGAGGGACTGCGACAGCTCAGAAGACCCAACATGGTGCGAAGCCTTGCGGGTCTGCAAGGGGTACTCTTGGGAATTATTCTGGCTTTTCAGGAGGTCCTCCTGGAGCAGTCTTCGGCCTCTGGTGAGACCGTTTGAGCTTGGCCCCTGACCCCTCGGCTAGCTACTACGAGAATGGCGTCTTGAATCCCACCAGACCTCTGGGCGTAGGTGGTATAGCGGATCCGCTCCCCTCAAAAAAAGTTCCCCTTCGGGCTTGGTTTACCACTGCTCCATATTAGTGTACACCCCCTCCCTGAATCTACCGGCCGCTGGCCCGAGTCACTCCCAACACCCCCCTGCAATCCCTGTCGGTGACACGATACAAAGTACACATTGCGACAACATATGGATACGATTCAAATGCTCCACGATTATGTTGTATTATTGTGTTGACCGGGATGGGGTGGATATCAAATCGCCCCACCAGGCCCACCGTCCCGGTCAAAACACAATGCAACGTGCACGCTGCCACACAAGATTGGACCATGCGCGGGCGCCCGACGATATTTCTGCAGAGTTATTTGACAGGGATGACAGGGGAGGCCCTGGCACGCGCGGCGCTCCTTGCGGCAGTCGCGAATCTGGCTGGCGTCTGCATTGCTTCCCGACGGTTGTCGACGGCGCCTACTGCCTATGCTGAGACTCTGGTGCCACTCATGTGGTGGGACGGGGGGTGGGAATGAGCGAGGCGGCTATGGGGCCAAGAAGCGCTGTCCTGTGTGGCGTTGACACATGCGGACCCTACCACTGGAGCCTTCGGTGGAGCTCCCTGTGGGGCCACGACGCATGCGGGCTCTGCCACTGGAACTTTTGGTGGAGCTCCCTATGGGGCCACGAAACGCTGTCCTGGGTGGCGCTGACGCATGCGGACCCTGCAACTGGAGCCTTCGGTGGAGCTCCCTACGGGGCCACGAAACGCTGTACTGGGTGGATGAAACGCAGGAAGTGACGAGGCGGATGGGAGGAGGGAGGAGGGGGAGGGAGGAGGGGGGAGGGGGAGGGGGGGGGGGGGGAGGGGGAGGAGGGAGGGGGAGGGGGAGGGAGAGGGGGAGGGGAGGGGAGGAGAGAGGAGAGGAGAGGAGGAGGGACGCGGGGCGCTGTCTTTTCAAAACGAGGCCCCAACACCACAGGATGGTTGGGAAAAAGGATCCTCATCGTCGTCCGCGTTCTCGATAAAACGAGAAGCAAGCGAGGACAACCCGAGACTTCCCAAAACAAGCCGAAAGCCGCCCAAAAACGCCAGTGACAGCTCCAGGACGACCCAAAGATTTGCTTGATTACGAAAAGTTCTGTAATCAAGCACACGTTCAAAGACCTCGCCTAGCCCAATCCAACGGGAAGAGCAGACCAGGATAACGCCAGACACTCAAATAAAAAACCAAGAGGAGCCCAGGTACATACCTGACAGCTCCAAGACGACTTTGTAATCAAGCCAGTGTTATCAATGCTGCCCTGGCCCCATCAAAGCCCATAAGCAAGTCGCGACTAACCCAGGCCCCCCAAAGGAAGCCCAACAATCGCCCAAGATTGGACACGAATATCCCAAAGACTGTCTGAAAATGTGATTGACCACAAACGTTCTTGCAGTCTATCAAAATCTTCAGCAAGCACGTTTTCAAGGGCCTCGCCTCTCCCACTGAAGCCCGAAAAGAAAGCCAGGACGAACCCAAACTTTCCAAAACAACCCAAGATGCGCCCAAGACCAGAATGCGTGAGGTCCACGACTGCCTGAGCAGCTGCGTGACTGCAAAGTGTTTCAAATCAGAGCACATGTTCGAAGACTTGGCCCAGTCTCAGTGGAATCCGAAGAGCGAGCCGAAAAGTTAGCGACACCCTACGCTGACTTACGCTATCCCACTCCTCAATATCACCACATGACGCTAACTGGCGCTAAATTACGCTCACGTGCGCTGTCTTTCGCCAGGAGACGCCGGGAAGGAACGCTGGGTAAGATCACGGCCGGCGGAAACGATGACGAGTCAGTTCGTCGATCATGAAGACCCCCAGGGAAAGCTCTTGGGCGCGAGTGCCGTCGTACAGATGGAAAACAACAGACATCTCAAAACCCAATGACATCACAAGGGGTATTCATTTCTCACGCCAGAAATCCAACAATCAGACCGAACTCCTGGACAGGAGGAGGTTGGGCATGGTTTGGGCATCGTGGGTTCCTGGACAGGAGGAGGTGGAGGAGGAGGAAGACAAGGAGGAGGAAGAGGAGGCGAAAGGAGGAAGAAATAAGTAGGGTAAGAGAGGGCGGAGGAGGACGAGCAGGACGGAGGATGAGGACGAGGACGATGAGGGGAGGGGGAAGACGAGCGAGAGATGACGTCGACGACGACGACGACAAATGCGACAACGACGACGACGACGAAGATGACGACGACACAAAGACGACCTCAGAATTTGCTTCACTACAAAGCGTCGAGCAGCCAACCAAATTTTCAATGGCCAAGTATTCCCCAACCGAAGCAAAAACGGACAAACTTTCGCAAAACAAACCAAGAAACACGCAAGACCCGCCGTGCCAACACTAAACTGACCTGAAACATTGATTGACTACCAAACGTTCGTACACAATCGAATTTTCATCCGGCAGATCTGGACTTAGCCGGCCCCCCATAACTCACCCGTTGCCTCTCACTCAATCCTCAAACTCACCCTGGTGCGTAATGCACTCGCGGTGCACACTGGGTTGTCTAAACTCGCTCGCTGTGACTAACTCACCTGGCGCCCTTAACTCACCCCGCGCCCCCACTCACCCAATACACACAGCTCACCCGGTGCGCCTAACTCACACGTTGCCAAACTCACCCAGTGCCGAACCCATCCCGTGCCTTTTAATTCATCCGTTTCCAGACTCATCCAGTGCCTCAGTCATCCGGTGCGCACTTCATCCCGTGCCTAACTGTCGCCACACTCACCCAGCGCCTAATCCCCCGGTCTTCGACGCGGCGAAGACTAAAAAAGTGAATGTGGTAAAAACGCATGTTTCCCCAACAGGGATTGAAGGATTTGTGCCGTAACGAGGCTGTGTTGAGGAGCCTCCTGGGGCTCGCTTGTGGCTCCTGAGGCGTCTCGTGGGCTGTCGGAGCTCTTTTGGAGGGTCTTGGGGCCCCCTGGAGGGCCTCTTGGGGCCATCTTGGAGGCCTTCGATCAAAAGAGGGGGGGGTGATCCTCGATGTTCGTGCTACCTCCTGGGGCCATCAAGATCGCATGTTGGGGTCGTCTTGGGGCCCTCTTGGGACGCTCGTGGGTACTCTCGGGGCCGTCTGGGGGGCCTCTTGGGCCCCTCGTTAGAAGTCTCAAAGCGCATCGGAAGCGAGAAGGTTTTTTAAGTGACTTTGGCCTCTTAGGGAGGTCCTGAAGTGGGGTTCCAAAAACACTTGAAACGGGTGTGTGGCCTCCGTCGGGCCTTTTGGGGGTATGTCGGGAGTCGATCCTGAACCATCTTCGGCTATCTTGAGCCGCCTTGGAAACCATCTTGGATCATCGGCGGCCCTCTTGTAGCATCGTGGGCGAAGAAAGATCACCTAACACAAAGCGACACCCTCAGAAAAACCTCAGGGAGGCGAGGGAGTGCACCCAATCTCCGAAGGGAAGAGGGTGTTTGGAAGAGGACAAAAAGAGAACTCGCTAGACAACCTTAGCCCAAAGAGCTGTGGGACATCTATGATATCGGCTTCTGGGGCCTCTTAGACGACATAAGGGCCTCCAAACAGCTTAACATGGCCTCCAGACGACACAAGACGGCCCCAAGAGGACCACAGAGGCCCCCAAGACGGCCCCAGAGGGCCCCAAATGGGCCCCCAAGAGCACCTCCAGAGGCCAAACATGTCGAAGCGATCTCCAGTGCATGGAGGAAGAAGAGCCACTTCCTGGACGTCTCCCAGGGTGCGTTCTGGCCATGATTTCGCGGCAAATCCAGCCGTGGCGACGAGGGACGGGTAACGGTATCGGTATCTCTTCCTCCTCCTCCTCCTCCTCCTCCTCCTCCTCCTGCTCCTCCTTCTCCTCCTCCTCCTTCTCCTCCTCCTCCTCCTCCTCCTCCTCCTCCTCCTCCTCCTCCTCCTTCGCAGTGCGGGCGCAGGGGCTCCGCCGAAGCCCGCGCCGCGCCCGCGGCCGCGCCCGCCGAGGCGCCCGCGGGAGCGAGCGATGCGAGCCGACCGAAGGCACGCGGCGCACGTGCACGCGCCTCCGCCCCCGTCCCCTCCTCCTCCTCCTCCTCCTCCTCCTCCTCCTCCTCCTCCTCCTCCTCCTCCTCCTCCCTCCTCCTCCTCCTCCTCCTCCTCCTCCTCCTCCTCCTCCTCCTCCTCCTCCTCCCCCTTCCCCCTCCCCCTCCCCCCTCCCCCTCCTCCCCCTCCTCCCCCTCCCCTCCTCCTCCTCCTCCTCCTCCTCCTCCTCCCTCCTCCTCCTCCTCCTCCTCCTCCTCCTCCTCCTCCTCCTCCTCCTCCCTCCTCCTCCTCCTCCTCCTCCTCTCCTCCTCCTCCTCCGCCTCCTCCTCCTCCTCCTCCTCCTCCTCCTCATCCTCCTCCTCCTCCTCCTCCTCCTCCTCCTCCTCCTCCTCCTCCCCCCCCCCCCTCCTCCTCCTCCCTCCTCCTCCTCCTCCTCCTCCTCCCTCCTCCTCCTCCTCCTCCTCCTCCTCCTCCTCCTCCTCCTCCTCCTCCTCCTCCTCCTCCTCCTCCTCCTCCTCCTCCGCTCCTCCTCCTCCTCCTCCTCCTCCTCCTCCTCCTCCTCCTCCTCCCTCCTCCTCCTCCTCCTCCTCTTCCCCCTCCTCCCCCTCCTCCGACTATGTCTGCGTACACGCGTGGCGCGGGGCGGCCTCCAGGCCCGTCACCCTCTGGACGGTCGGCTGCAGCAGCTCCACCGCCATCTCGCGAGTCCTGGTCTCGATCTGCGGGCGAGCGAGCGCGCGGCGTGGGGGGGTGGGGGGGGCGCGCGCCGGCATCGCCACGAGGCGTAGCGCCGTCGTGGGAGAATGGCCCTGCTTCCCCTCCTCTTCCTCCTCCTCCTCCTCCTCCTCCTCCTCCTCTTCTTCTTCGTCTTATTATTATTAGTATTAGTATTATTATTATTACTATTATTATTAGTATTATTAGTATTAGTATTATTATTTTTATTATTAGTATTATTAGTATTAGTATTACTATTATTAGTATTAATAATAGTATTATCATTATTAGTATTATTATTACTAGTATTATTATTATTATTATTAGTAGTAGTAGTAGTAGTATTATTATTCGTAGTGTTATTATTATTCTTCTTATTCTTGAAAGTATTGGCATTCGTATTCTTAGTATTCGTCTGATTATCATTATTCTTCTTATTATTACTCTTAGTAGTCTTAGTCTTCGTAGCATTCGTATTATTATCATTATTATTATTATTATTATTCGTCTTCGTATTCTTACTATATTTCTTGTTATGGTATGATTATTATGCTTAGTATGATTATGATTATGAGTATGCTTTTTATTTTTATTATTATTAGTATGATTATGAGTATGATTATGATTATGAGTATTCTTATGCTTAATACGCTTATGAGTATGATTATGATTATGAGTATTATTATGCTTGGTAATATTATTATTAATTTTAGTAGTATTACGTTCTTCTTCGTATTAGTATTATTCGTATGCATATTATTGTGTTTCGTCTTCTTTTTAGTCTTACTAGTACTAGTAGTAGTGTTATTATAATATTAGTATTGGTATTATTCGTATTATTATCATTCTTCTTATGGGAAGTATAATTAGTATTCGCCGTATTAGTAGTCGCATTCGTACTCTTACTACCATTCTTATTACTATTATTATTCGTAATCCTAATAAGTTTATTATTCTTGTTAGTATTATTTGTCTTCTTCTACTTCGTCCTCCTCCTCCTCCTCCTGTTCCTCCTCCTCCTGTTCCTCCTCCTCCTCCTCCTCCTTCTCGTCCTCCTCCTCCTCCTCCTCCCCGTCCTCCTCCTCCCCGTTTTCCTCCTCCTCCTCCTCCTCCTCCTCTTCCCCCTCCTCCTCCTCCTCCTCCTCCTCATCCTCCTCCTCCTCTTCCTCCTCCTCCTCCTCCTCCTCCTCCTCCTCCTCCTCCTCTTCTTCCCCCCTGGGAACGGAGGAAGGACGGGGTGGTGGAGACGAAAAGGGTTGGGGAAGAGCGAAAATGCACGGGCGCTCGCTCGGGCGGACCGTTCGGGCCTTGCCCCGGTAAATAGGGCGAGGCCGCGGCGCCTCGCACGCTCCGCGCTGGAGGGGCGGGAGGGCCGGAGACGGGACGACGAGGGGCAAGGGGGGGGAGGGGCGGGGGGCGGGAGGCGGGAGCGTGCAGCGGGAGGCGGGGGCGGCAGTCGGGGAGGAAGGAACGACGGGGGGCGGGGCGGGGACGGGGGCGGGGGGGGGGCCAAAGGGGGGGAGGACAAGCTAGGTGCGCTCGCGTCATATCTGTCGTCATACCCTCCCCCCTAACCCTTACCATGGCGCAGATTCCCTCTTACTGCGCACAAGCTGATGTCGAGCCAGGCAATGATCCCGAAAGGGTTTGCGATGCATGGTAAAGCACGGCATACCATGGTGTAGAAGAGCGCGGCAGAGCAGAGCACGTCATAACATGGCTAGGTATTGCGTAGTGCAGCAGTGCATCACAAAACGTAGCATCGCAAAGTATGGTATCGCACAGCGGAGCACAACGCAACATCGCAGTGCATGTCATGGCATGGCACCGGATGCCTTGGAAGGTAAATGTCCCGTGCACGAAGGGAAAAGGCCTGTCCGGAATCCCGGCCCCATGTCCTGCGCAACCACCGTGCCTGCCCGATGTGGGCGCTTTCGAATGCCAGGTGCCGTCTGGTAGGGGTACTGTAATAGCGTAAGGCCCCACCGCCTTCCTTTCGATTCGCTGTCTTACTTTCCCCGAGCCCCCCTCCAAGTCTCCCTGGGCTCCCCGGACAGCTCTGCCCGAAGACTTCCGGAAGCTCCAAGGGACGCACAGAAATTGCCGACGGCGACAACGACGCAGACGACGACGGCGCCGGCGGCGGGGGAAGCTGCGGCGGGCGAGGACGGATGTCGGAGGACAGCACGGCGGGCTGCCAGGCTCGATGGTCTGGCTTCCTTCAACAATCGGCTCACACTGGGCCCCTGGACCCCTCGCGGGGTCAAGTCAGATCAACGCTTTCCAGCCGGATCGTTTTCTATGGTCCCCGGGGGGTTCTACGGTCTACGGCCCCACAAATCAACGAATCGACACCCCAGCCGCGGGGCGCAACGGCGGGGGGGGCACCCCCCGATCCCCCAAAGCCCCAGCGCACACGCCGTCCAGAGACATCCGCCTCCCCGGACCCGCGGAGCCACGACCGCGGGCCCTCGGGCGGCGACGGTTACGGGCCCAGCCCAGCACCCCAGAGGGCGGGCAGCGGCCCATACCCACCGCGCGCCTCGAGGCCCCGCGGCGCGGCACCGCGGTGGCGGCCGTGAACCTTTCCAGGCGGTGGAGGAGAGGTGGGTGCGCACCTGTCTGTGGCAGAGTCAAGGGGACACGCTTTCCATGGCAAGACCACCGAAACCCAAGAAGCACAGGGCACCCCGGAGGCACGCAGGGCGTCGCTTGGCTTGGGCCCCCCCAGCTCTGGGCCCTCCACAAAGCAGGCGGGCGCCGCCCTCCAAGGGCGGACCCGGCAGTGGCGACGAGCTGCCTGCCGGTGGATACCCAGAGTGAGGGGGCCCTGGGGCACACACAAAGAAATAGACACAGATAGCAGGACTCCCCTTATCTTCCCATCTCTTCTGGGTGTTGCCTTCCCCCCCACTTCCCATATTGTCCAATATTTTTTGGGGGGGATCGATGCTTCACTGTGTCTGTGTGTGTTCTTCCCCCTCCTGACAGAGGTGACGAGGCACCGGCGAGGGGCCGCCGCCGCCTCGGCCGCAGGCCCCCCCCCTCCGAGGTGGCGACGACGACGACGACGACGACGACGACGACGAAGACGACACAGACGACAGAGACGATTGAAGACGACGACGACGGCGTCGAAGGCCGCGGCGACGACGAGGACGAGGCCACGACGACGACGACGACGACGACGACGAGCGCGAAGGCCGCGGCGACGCGGCTCGCCCCCCCCGCGGCCGTGGGGCACGAGAGGGCCGCCCGGGCGCCTCCGGCAGCTCCAGGCCGGCCCACAGCCTGGTCGGGGCGCGGGCGGCCGCCGGCCGGCCGGACGGCCAGCGGGCCGCGCGGGCAGCGGGCGGCCGCCGGCCGCGCGGGTGGCCCAGCAGCGACGCGCGGCCAGGAGCGGAAGAAACCCCTCGCGCCGCGAACAACAGCAGGACGGGAGGGCCCCGACGCTGGACGTCTCGACTCTCCGAAAGACCTGGAGGCGGCGGCGCGCCCCAGGGGAACATGCGAGGGGGCAGGACTCCTCAGAGGCCTGAGAAGTTTCCAACGCCTTCTCCGAGGGCACAGATTCTCGGAAGGCGCGAGGGCTGCCGTTCAGCCCGACCGCCTTCTGAGAAGGCCTGCCCCCGTCTCACTTCCCCCCTGTGCTCGCATCCGATGGAGGGCTTCTCGCCGCCACGGCCCTCGAAATCCTGGTCAGAACGTGCCCCGGAACTGGTCCAGGGGGGGGACTTTCGACCCAGAGACACAGACCCCCCGGGGACGCGGCGTGTTCTCCCGCCGTGCGACGGACTCTTGCCTTGCCAGGCGCTGCCCTCTTGCGGCTGCGCTTCGAGATGGACGCGGGGCGACTTGGGCGGGCGACGCACTGGGCATCTCCAGGCCTCCTTGGGTCGTGAGCAAAATGACGGCGGCCGGCGTTTGAGGCCGTGTCCAGGGGGAGGGGGAGGAGGAGGAGGAGGAGGAGGAGAAGGAGGAAGACCAGTGTAAACCACGCTGAGAAAGAGAACGGCGTCCAAGGTCTGGGGAGGCACAGCCAAGCCCACGGCCTCGCGGTCACGGGCACTCCTCTGCCGGGACGCCGTGGGCAATGAAGGATGACGACCGAGAGAGACAACACACGGGGAAGAACGATCCACAAACAGCAAACAACATGCATTCTGCCGCTGGGGACGCTTCGGGAAATCGATAGGTACCGATACCGCTACTCTCCGGACCTCTCCTGGGGTGCTTCTGACCAGGATTTCGAGGCGAATCCAGCGGTGGCGACGAGGGCCTTCCAGGAGGCCCAAGAAGGGGAAGACGGGCGGAGGGTAGCGGTATGGGCCCCTTTTCCTCATCCGAACTGTTGGAGAGGACGATGCGAGAGTTTCAATGCCGACGATGGTGCTCACAATGCGGCTGGAGGGAGATCTTTGACTCGTCCTCGCCCCAGAGCGCTGCCGCGTGGCGCCCCGCCGCGCCAGCGCACCTCTCAGTTCTGCCGTCGTGCACATCGCACGGAGGCGCTGCGAGGATCCATGGATTTGGCGCGCGGGGTCGCCAAATCCATGGATCGGGGGAGGTGCCCTCCCCAAAATGCGGCCGGTGCCGCCTCGGTCGGCGGCGGAAATCCGCGATCTCCCATGGAAACGGGACCCGTCGCTAATCCCCGCCCCCTTGGTCCACTTTTGCAGTCGCCTGGGAGGAGCGCACCCGTGAAATACCGTTGAAGGAAGAAACTGTGCATCAAGAGTTGGGGGGGCACTTCGAATACACCTTCCGCGCACCCCCTAGCCTCAAGGCCAGGGGGTGGAGGGGGGGGGATTCGGCTCTTTGTCGTCGTAGCGCTGTTGACGCAAGGCTTCTTCCTTCAACCATACCGAAGCGTATACACGCGGTCGGGCCTCGGCATCCAGGCCGCCACTGCGCGGGCGCGTCGGAGAGCCACAACAAGATCGGTGCCACGCGGGTCTGGCGACCCCCGTCAGCGCGCTAGGCTTTCGTGGCAAAAGCAAGCGGTGAGCAACACGCACACTTTGCCGCGGCGCGGATTATGCGTTGGTGGTGTTGTTGGTGTTGTTGGTGTTGTTGGTCTTGTTGCTGTTGTTGTGGTTCGTGTCATTGCTGTAGCTGCTTTTGCTGCTGTTGGCATTGTTGTTGAATTCCCACTTCTAAAAATATATGTCGTTGGCCCTTTGCCCGGTGGCCATCGTGTTCTTCAATTCAAGCTTCCCTCCTGGGGCTCGCACGTTGCTTTTTGCAGATGGAAACTGGGGTCAGTAAGCTATACTGTTGGCTCCCAATTTACAGCAATAGCGGCTTCTGCCTGATATGCTCTCATAATGTATTCCAATATCGCGTTCTACCGCGGGACTTCCTCACAACTTATGCAGGAATCGCGCTCTGGCGTGGGACTTCCACGCCATTTGCTCAAACGCCGCGCCCTCGACGCTCAGGAATCGAGCTCTCGCTTTGGTTATGTTCGCAATTCAAATGGGTATCGAGCTATCGCCCGAGAACTCTTCGCGATTCAGGCAGTACTCATGCTTCAGCAACCCGCATGCTCGACCTGGTCGATCGGGCCCGCCTTCCCGACCCGCCCGTTAGGATCTACCCGCCCAATCAGCCCGTCTGGTTTTGCCACGTCCTTTCAGCTCCTAGCCCCCTCCTGCGAATCCTGTGTTCCATGCTTCCCCATCCCCTTTCCATCCGCCCTCTCTTTCCCTTCTTTAGGGACTGCCCTAAATGCGCGTGGCAGCTAGGGAAGATATACCCCCAGAAGGGGTGCGGTCGAAGACGAAGAAGAAAGGCATCGAAAGTTTGATCGCACGTGTTGAATTGCACGCGAGCAGGTCAGAACGAACTGTCAAACATGACTGTCGTTGCTAATATTAACTTCTCAATTCTCAAAGATAAATATGGTTCCACCCGCCGGTGACAATTGTATGTTTCAGTATTTTTCAATTAAGCACCCCTCCCGGGACTCGTTCCTTATTTTTACGACGGAAAAATTGGGGCCGCCAAACTGTGCTGTTGGCCCCCAGTGTACAAAAACATCGGATCCCACCTGATGCATCGTCGCAATATTGTCCACAATCGCGTTTTCGCGCGTGACTTCCTCACAGTGTATGCAGAAATCGCGCTGTCGCATGGGACTTCCTCGACATGGGTTCAAACGCCGCGC